ACTCACCTCTAATGAGTTGGGAGATTCTGTCCGATTCCTCATTGATCAGATTTGGGTTGCCGTGAATGGTGGTGATCTTAGAGAAGTCTGGGCCTGACGTTCAAAGAAAACCATTTACATTAAAAAATAAAGAGAAGTATGGAATGCATCTCAATATCTTTTTTGCCTTGAGTCATCTTAATAAATGAAAACAATTATTATTTCAAGCAGGATGTGAAAAGAAACTGTTTGGTATAAAGAGTGTGTATAAGAGACCCCTACCCTCAATGACAAGAGGCTCGTTCACCGTGGTTTGTCTGGATCCACCTTTAGATGGGCAGCGGAGAAGGGGGTGTTGAAAGTCATTTAACGACTAAGCAACTACTGACTGACAGACAGACCGACAGGTACATACACCCCGTAAAACACCTCCTCCGCCACCGCCAACACAAAGGCACAGTGTGTGTAGTATTTTGAAAACATCCACACACTCACAGGCATTTTTTAGCCCACAACTAAGCTGCATGACACCAGTGAAGCAGTTTATTTGTGAAAACAGCTTAAAGCTCACACCACAACACACACACACACACCCACACACCACACACACACCACACACACACACACACACACACACACACACACACACACACACACACACACACACACACACACACACACACACACACACAGCACGACACACACACACACCACACACACACATACACACACACACACACACACACACACACACACCCTAAAGCTGTATGAGACAGAGAATGATTAACACGATGGGATTCTTGCATTAGAGACAAGAACACACTGACGGAGAGAGATGAAATCAGATAAGTGGTGAGATGGAACGACATCCAAATCATGGTGCACCATGGGCATGATCAGAAATGTACTTTATATTTTTCATGATGTAAGCCTATTCAGAAGATAGACTGTAAAAATAAAACAACTTTCTCCGTACATCATTACTGAGCCCAAACAAACATCATGAATCAGAATTAGTGGTCCAGTAGCCAATAGCATTAGCAGCGAGTGGTGGAAGTCATTAAAGGTGGGGTAGGTAATTTTGGAGAAACCAGCTCGAGTGCGCTAAGGATTTGAAAATACACAGCCGGCAGGTAGGCCATCCAGTTATTTTAAGCCGGGCCGGCTAAAATGATTGGTCGTGCTTTTTACAGTACTACGGCTTCCACAGATGAATTTTTTTAATGGATTTTTTGTCAAAGCACTTAAGATATTCATTGCTATCGGGGATGTTTAAGAGCATTCCAATGGAATATAACAAAAAGTGTATCTCAAGCCGGTTTCTCAACCTTACCTACACCCCACCTTTAAGGATTCTTGAAAATAATACAGCCGTTTAAGAAGCTTGCAAAATATTCTGCAAGTGTTGAAATAACTCCATAAATATAAAGTAGTTTGATCAAACTGATTCCTTTTGTCTTTTAATCTGGTTGGGTGTATAGTAGATGCATACTTTATGAGCCAATACTGAAGGCCGATCAAGAAGTTGAGAAATTGAGAATTGGCACTTGACAGCCACAACAAGGGAGGGCGTAACCCATATAGGTTGTTGGTTTATCCTCGAACCACCTCAGTCTTAAAGATAAAGAAATAGATGGAAACCAGCATTGTAGACAAAAGTAATTAGGCCTGTGACTTGTAGAGAAAACATGGGTTGCCTGGAATTGACAGTCTAAAATATTGTTTTAGTTCCAATTTCCTTAACTATCTAAAATATATTGAAGGTTAAAACGATGCACACCATGAAATGAAGGTGTCTGAGGACTTATCTGATGATCACAGAGGAAACATTCACGTTAGATGATAATGGCCAGTTAGCTGTGGTCAAGATCCCAGATGCATTTGTTAAAAGAGTGGTTAGAAAATGCATGAATATTCTGAGATCTAGACTATCATGCTCTTCAACGGAGTGAAAAACTGACTACTCCAATTATCTTTCCTTGTGCATCAAGTTCTCCACCTGCATGAATGAAAAAATGTTGTGCCATCAAATCTATTTAAAAACAATTGCGAAGCTGAATTTTGTTCATCTTACTTATCATTTGCCGTTCAAAATATGAATGATCTAAGGAACTTACCTTCGATAACTCTTGTGACCTTGGTAATGATAGGCTGGCCTTCAAAGACCCTGGTTGATGAAGACTCCCCCTCGATGAGCCTGGTCACTTTAGTGGTTCTTCTCCACTGACGACCATCGTAGTGATGACAGGTTCTGTCTCGATGACTCTTGTAACCTTGGTAAAGGATGGCTGTCCTTCAATGACTCTGGTCACTGTGGTGATTGATGGCTCTCCTTCAATGACTCTTGTAACCTTGGTAAAGGTAGGCTCTCCTTCAATGACTCTTGTAACCTTGGTGATGGATGGCTCTCCTTCAATGACTCTCGTAACCTTGGTGATGGATTGCTCTCCTTCAATGACTCTTGTAACCTTGGTGATGGTAGGCTCTCCTTCAATGACTCTTGTAACCTTGGTGATGGTAGGCTCTCCTTCAATGACTCTGGTCACCTTTGTTTCAGGAACTGTAAAGAGGGATCGGGAACATGAGTGCAACTTAAAGGAAACCTTCCCCTGAAATAAACAGTACTGTAGTATGTGAGAGCATTTTAAATGGTAACAGTTTTGCAAAAATACATGTTTTTTGGAAAGTATTGAACATACAACTGAATAAAGGAGACTTGGATTAAACATGCATGAGTGAACATTTGGATGCTTGATCTAGTTTTGCTATTATTAAATGCAGCACCTATTTTTTTTCTTTGGTTAATTAAGACTTATCTTCAATTTTGGATTATTCGTCTATCATGGTTTTCTTCACAAATTCAAGGTAACAAGAGTTGAGTTATTTGATATACCTATAATAGTTTTTAAGGTGAAGTGATCCTTCAAGAATAATTAAAAAAGGAAGGATATCTTTTGAGCACTCCCACATTCTTTCTATAATGAGCGAGAATGAGGCATGAGGAGCAGTATGTGAAGTTATCAAAGCAGGCAGAACAAAGGCAGGCTAATGTCTGTAGATATTACATTGCATGTTTTTATTAACCGATGATACGCTCCACGGTCCAATAAGCTGCCCCCTTGGACAGACTTAATTTTCTACTCCATTAGATGAGTTTAAAGAATCAAATTATAACCTTGTTCAAATTATAATATATATTATAATATAATACACTTGGACATGTTACATAATCCTCTTTGTGACAGTACTGATTCCAGAAGAAGCCCCAGAACAGTTCCCAACCACATACAAGGAAGAAATATATCAACAAACCCCACGTGTCCTTAAAATAAAAAATGCCTCCCCACTAACTATAAATAAGATTGTATTTACAAATGCCTCTGCAATAAAAAATTAAACGCCTATTTGCTACCAATGAAATGTGTATAAAGGGGGTTTTGACAAAAAAAAAAAAAATTAAGCTTGCAGGCATGAACTCTTGCACAATTACTACCACTCAAATCTGCCCTGATGCAGGTACAGCTGAAAGAGGTTTTTATTAAGTCCAGAGATGGATCATTATGTCCTGAGTTTTAAATGCTCTACCTCTCTTAATCCATAAAGAAAGGCCAGCGTCACAGTCTGATTGGCCAAGAGGGGAAATGCAAAGCTGCTCACAGTTCTTAATCAGGAGCCTATCTCCACATGCTGTGCAACATGTGGAGATAGGCTCCTCAAAATAACCCTTCAATCAACTCAGGGGAATTTGGATATTCAGCTGTATTGAATTGGGAAACCGGAAAAGGGAAATGACAACACATCAACTCATCTTTTGAATCAGCTTCAACGGGAACTTTTTCTTTCATTTATTTATATATATATGTATATATGTGTACTTCTGAGCGATGATTTTGTTAAGTGACAGAATTCATATGAGTTGAATGCTGACGGATGTTTGTTTCTGTTAGTCTAATATTTGGCCTGAGTGCCATTGAGATGGTCTTCCAGCAATTAGAACCAGACTCAGGTCTGATACAAATTAGGAAATGTATGTCATTAAAACTGTGGCTCCACATCATGTTTATATTTGTATTAGGAGTAAATCCTAATACAAATATAAACATGATGTGGACAATAGATTATTCCTCCTATGATCCAAACTAAAGATAATATATTTATGCAACTTTTAATTCAGTGTGTGTGTGTGTGTGTATAAGAACACATTCATCTGTGTGAATGTGCACTAGACTAAGCCCAACTAAATGAACAACATCCACTTCCTCCATGTTCTCTGACCCTGTTATGCTTTGACAGCCTCATTACCTCATCCCTGAAGGGGCTAATTAAATATAGCAAGGGGTCCAAGTGGACTTAAGCAAGAGTGAGACAGAATAATCAAAATGAACAAAGAAGAGAACCAGAACCCCTGAATTGCGCAACGACATGCTTGTATACACATGTGGCTGCAGGATGTGTTTCACTTTTAAAACAGATGCTCATTTTAAGACAACGTTTTTGAAATCAAAGGAAGTCATGTCTTGAATAATCACAAAAAAATATAATGTTTGATCATAAAAAGATTCAAAACTTCCCTTTTAATCATGTGGTTAGTGAAAATGGTCTTACCTGTTTCATGATAATGTGTAGTTGTGATGGTTCTCTCTGTGAAGTGACATAAGAAGCTTGTTACAAATGAAATATTCACACATCATGCAGAGAGAGTGGATGATAAACAAACTTACTGAAGAATGTGACTGGGATTTCCTTGTACGAAAATCCCGAAATATACTGAAAAAGGCATAACAGGAGGACATGTATAAGACACATTTTTAAAAAACATTTTCTTTGATACACCTGTGCCCAGACATATGTGTATTTTCTCTTTAGCTACCCTTATCTGGATGTACTTAATCAGCTTCTTCAGGAGGACCAGGAAGTCCTGGCGGCCCACAGGAAGGTCTGTAAGTAATATACAGCATCAAAAGAACATAACTTATTGCCTCCCAGCACAGAGTGCACATTGCATGATTTGATTTGAACGTTCTCACCTGCAGGATAGAGAACATTCTTTACCACATGGATCACACCATTTGTAGCCATCAAATCGCTGTTTGGCACATCCACCGAGTTCACATTAATAGAGTTGTTAACCTTGGTAAAACGAGGGGAAAAGAATGATGCATTTCTTTTAATTGGGGGTAAACATATTCAGAAGTTGGTGAGTTATGTCAAAAACTGCCAAGAAAACATTGTCAAACTGGCCGAAAGTCATTTTGAAAGGGTTGCACAATAGAGGTTTTGAAGCGAGGTTTTTAATAAGGATCCCATGCAGTGTGCTCTGTTATTGGATTTGCTGTATGGAATTCCATTCATGATTGATTTCCTGCGATTTAAGGTGGATATGACTTAAGGAGGACAGGCTGAGTCTGAAAGGGATAGGGTTACCTACTCCTCTAGCTCCTCTTTTCCCTTATCACCCACTAAATTGAGCCACATCAGTAGATAGGAGGCCCAATTGAGGTAATAAGTGAAATGATGATATACAATAGCTGACATTGAGGCTGCTGAGCAACAGAAAGGCAGACAGAGAAAAGTAGCAGGTGGGGGGGGGGGGGGGGGGCATAGATGGAGGTGGGCAGCATGGGTGAACAAGGACAGTGGGCGTCGATGGACATGAGCCAGGTCTTAAAAGTTCTGGCCGTTCTCCAGAGATATCCAGCTTTGAAGATATAGATTAGCACTGGCTCTTTGATGCTATTGTTTTAATGAGAACGTGTGGAAAGACTGGGTTAAGGACTCACAATGGAGGCTTTGAGAAAAGGGAAAACATGTGTGTCGGTTTTAAACTTGATTATATGATACAGATATGATCTTAAAGAAAAAATGTTTATCCACTCTGCTTCTTGTTCAATTAAGCCAAGATAAGATTTTATTGATACCAAGAGGGGAAATTCAATTGACAATTCCTAGAGTTTACAGAGGGCCTTTTTTCAATCAGAATTGGGCATGAACTGTTTTTAATGTATTGACTTCCATGTGCTATTACATCAGTTTGTACAGTAATAGTGTTTCCGACTGACGGTTTATCCCTTTTTGATTGTTACATGACAGATTCAGGAAATTATTTCGGTCTTTTTTTTATTCTGAGGACAAATACACTTAAACAAGGGCTGATTGTACATACAGAAATAACTTGGAGGTTATTGCCCTGCAGGGTTTTGAGCAGGTTGGTAACTCCTCCCTCTAATCCTCCATTGATGAAGATGCCATTACTGAAGTGGTACAGGAGAATGATCCTCAAAGCATTCAGATCACCTGTAAGTGACAGCAAAAGGCATCATTTACATTCTGTAAAGGGGAGTAAGCATGCTTCACATTTTTTTTCTCCCCTCATTTCTGGCTTAAAGAACTTCAGAACAATCTAGCTTGATTGCAATTGCATAATCTTCAAAAGGGATATGCATGAAAGGAAGTGGATGTCTGTCTTTTGATTGGAGGAACTCACTTTTCAGAAGAGCAAGGTCCTCTTTACTGAGACCTTCAAAGGCATCGTCAGTTGGTGCAAAAATAGTGTAGGAGCCTTTCTCCTTTAGCAGATCAGTCAGATCTGCTGTCTCCATCAGCGCCAGGAAAATCCTACATTTTTTTTTAAAGTAAAGGAGAAAGTCATCCATTCAGAAAGTCAAGATAAGGTACGGTACTGTATGAGTAAAATACACACAAATCTAAGAGAAATGTGCAGGTAAATGAAATGGTTAATGAAACTGATGATGATGAAATAGGAGTAAAATTCACACTATTTGAGCCAGCACTTTTTGTAAATTTCAGTTTTTCATCTGGCCCTAATTACTGCGTGTCAGACTGCATGAACTCTAGCCAGTCAGGACATCAACTTTTTCTCCAACAGGAAAGAACGGCTCTGCTTTAATGGCACATTGAGTCCTGTGTTGAGAGGAGACCAGATTATATCTTGCGTTTGATAAAAAAAACAGTAGGGTTTTGCTCCTTGTAGACAGGAGGATTATTGTTTTAGGAATATGATATGATGGAATTTGGGTTTGTGTGGTCCCATTGATTCACACATCTGCTTCCTGAGTATTTCATCATTAGCTTGCGCTGGTGACGACATCTGTCATAGAGCAGCGAAATGTGAAAATACAATAAATTCATTACTATAACATAAATTAGGATGTTAGTTCGTTCTTACTTGAACCGTCCGTCAGCAATCAGGAGCTCGTAGATTGTTTTGTCAGCTGGTTTGATGAGGGAATTCATAAGATGGAGGGCACTATGGCTTCCCTCTTTACTGCCCACGCACCATACATGAATTTTCAATGCACACAGCCTAACAAAGGGACAATAGTTAGACAGCAGAATTACTTGTTTTACAGTCACTGTACAAATGTGGTAACTATTAAGCTTAGGGGAGGGGGACTATTTCATTGTCTTGTTTGATTGCAATCAATCAAAAAGAAGAACACATAAGTTTCTGCGAGGAAATTAAACCCAGGGGTTGATCATAGTCGAACCACCAGGGCAGAACCCCGATTCATCTGCCAAGAGTTGGACTAATAAGCTGTTTTAATTCATTTGCTTAGAGTTGAATGACAGCAAAATCATGTTAACACTTTGTAAGAGGCCCAGTAATGTCTTTCAGATTTCCAATAAGTAAGCCACTGCTCTCCATTGTCTTTCCAAGACTTATTCTTTATCTGATTTTCCTGTTCCTTCCTGACACACACACAAACATTGTACTCACAGTGCGGTAAATAAAGACTCTGAGCATTCTGCCAGCCAGTGTTTCCAGCATCTGTCCGTTGTAAAGCTCACTCAGCGTAACTTTCAGCTTCAAGATGTGGTTTTCCAAAATGAATCTCAACAGGCTCTGGTCCGTTGACATCACCTCAGCTGACAACCACAGAACAAAATAGTGATTTAAAATGACCCTAGTAATAAAATATGCCAGGCCTTACACAACTTTTCCTTTCTCTAAAGAGTATTGAAAAGTCTAAAAATGAATTAGCACAATCTTGATCTGAAACACATCTGATGATCTTTCCTTTATATGCTAAATAGGAGTTATTTGGAGATGAACTCACTAGTGAAGGCAGTGTTGACTGGAGCAAGGAGTGTGTACTCTGTTTTCGAACCCAAGGCAGAGGCTAAGCCCAATTCGGACACCATGTCACTGAAAGTGCTCTGAGAGTCTCCCATCAGCTCCAACCCTTCCTTGGCTGGTATGAATCACATAGATAAAAAGATGTTGGTTATCACAGCAAACACATATAAAAGCAAATGCTTTCAACAAGTATTCACTGAGGGAGAAAACCCCAGATGTGTTTTACCTGAGTTAGGGATGAGCACCTGGTCGATTAAGTGGATGACGCCATTGGTCGTGACTATGTCCTTCTTCAGCACCATCTTGATTCCATTGACTGTCAAACTGTCGCCATCACACCCAATTTCGATGGTGCTGCCCTCTTCGGTCTCAAACACAGACCCCGCCATTATTGCTTCAGAACACTGGACAGAGCTCAACAGGTGGTATTTCACCAGGGCTGGGTAGGTGGATTGAAGTGTGAGAAAGATAAAGGGTAAGAAGAAGAAAAGTCACTGTTCACATTCTACACTTTTATAGACTTTGTGGGTTGACTCTAATTCTTGATTAATATTATAGGGCTCTCCAAGGTTTAAGTCATTAATCAACACACATGCACATGGATAATATTTCAGTGCTTTTACAAATATTTAGCCACTTCTGTTAACATTTACATACAGGATTACGTCTCTGACTGAGTTCAACTGTCAAACATTGCAATGCGATTACAAACCCTTCCAAACCCACACAAATACAAATGGTTTTTGCACTTCAGCCAAATTACTCTTTGGCTCAAACCTTTCCTAGTAGAAACAATTCACAAGTCTCCATATGATCTTTACTTTGGAGGCAGTTCTTACACGGTTGGTCTGCAGAGCCTGTTTGCCAAGTGTCTGAGAATTTATTTGAGGTAATATTGATTCCCCAGAGCGAACTCACCGAGGACACCGCAAACTGGCCTCATGTTAATATGCATTCCTGGTGTGCCAGTGACACAACAAATAAGCAGATAAGCTACCACTGGTGAGACATAGGTCTCCAAATTTATTCTGTTGTTTGTGGGCTTGACTTTTTTTTGAGTTTGTGCTATTTCTTTGCTCCAGAGAATTTGTGGGGAATCTAAGTTTAAACATACTCTCTCAGGCTCTGTGATGACGAAGCTTAGCGATGAGATGTCAACAGGCTAACCTGTTCACATTGACAATGCTAACCTGTCATGCTTTAATGACCATTTAGCAGTAAACATGAACTATAGCTGAGGCTTGTGGGAATAGCATTAGTTGCACAAGTATTAAACAAATAAACAAAGGAACATTTTACCCTGATGATGGCAGTATATGAGAAGTCAGGGGATCTCCAAAAAGATAACAATATATCCTGACAGGGACATAGATGTCTGAACCCAATTTCCTGGCAGTCTATCCTATACTTGTTGAGATATTTCACTAAAATACTAACCCAGGGCTACATAACCACTTTTTCTTGCAAATCTCTCTTTTTGATATGAAGATTTATTTCTGGATGATTGGAAAATTGAATCTGCTGCTGGCACTACAGGTGTCACTAAAGTCAGTAGGATTTATCCTCATTATGAAAGTCTGCACTACATTTCATGGCAAACCATCCAACAGTTCACTCAGGACCAAAGTATTGAACTGACGGTGTGACTAGCCGATATATAAAAGTGCTCTAAACATCTGCACACTTAAATCAACCATAGCAAGCATATGTTAGTAGTTCATGCCATCATTACTGTATCACATGTACAATGTACCTGCAATAACATCCTTGTCTCCCATGATACGCTCCAAGTAGCCTGGGTCCAATTTGTCAAAGGCTTGATCAGTGGGAGCAAACAGAGTGAAGTGTCCAGGCTCGCCCAGCTTGTCGAACATGCCAGAGTTCATTACCACATCCTGGATAACAAAAAGAGAATTTGTCCCACGTGTAATATGTCATCATACTGAGATATAGGACGTCTGTATTTTTACAGATGTTCCACTTAAGCATATTAGTCAATGTTGGCTTTGTAAACCATTAGATAAGATTATTTTACTTACTCTGAAGGAGGCGAGATCCTCCGTTACATCCAGGACTTCCTTGATGTTGTTGCCCACGCTGGTGATGACCCGATCAATGACATGCACCACACCCATTTGTGGCCACCTGATTACCATGGATGATCCTGGCACAGTTTACTGTCACGATCTGAAGAGAGAGTTAATGTTATAATAAGCCAAGACCAACATTGGGGTCAGAAATTCTTCACAGACATACTTAAATCATGTATTCATGTGTGCAATAAAAAAAAAGGTGCAAAAACGGACCCATTTGAGTAGTGGTTGATGTAAATCCCCAGGTCGTTGTACATGGAATTCAAAGTCATGCCGTTCTTCAAGTCTTTGGTCAGAAGTCGGCGGTTAACCATGTGGTAGTGAAGAGCGTTGTACAGCTCGATGTTCACGTTGCTCACCAGCGCCGCCCGTATAATCTAAGGATATCACAAATGAATTAAAGGGCAGTGAGTTTCAGGTTATATTGTATTTATTTGTAATCCCATAAAAAACGACTTACAGGTTCCACCTGATCCCAGGCCTCGTTGCTAGGTGCAAACATAGTGAAGGAGCCTTCGCCTTCAATTTCCTCCTTCAGTTTGGACAGGTCAGAGTATTGCTGTTGTGGTCGAAGCTTTACCAGCCCCAGCGTACCATAGACATGGTCAATGGGTGCCACTAGGGAAAAAGCAAGGGGTTGTTTTTGTAGTCTAAAGTAGGATTAAAATGTTGCATTGACTGAAAAAGAAGACCACAAAAGGGGCTGTGGTGAAGCCAATTACCTGCAGTACATCCTTTCGTGCCCTCCAGTTTAATGTACCCAGGACAGCATTCATATAGGACCATGCTTCAAAAAAGGAAAAAAGTACAAGTATGTTAGACTTATAATGACTTTGATACAATATGTTAGCGGATCTTGAAAACATAAATCAATGACATACATACACATAGAAACAATGACTTGTATTGTGTTGGAAGATACACAGTCAGAAAGATGTACATTATAATATGTCTCTGTTTTTGCAACTGCAAAAAGAAAATTAATGAAGAAAAACAAGCTTGCCAAATCCTCAAAGCAGAATTGACTGTAAAGAGGAAGAAAAACAACCTCCTGAGCTGTAATGGGAGAGAATGACGAGTGCTTCAATTGAGAACATTTGAGAAAGGAGACCACGGCTGCACAAAGGGGGGATTTTACTCACCAAATAAAAATCCATAATTGGACAGATCACATATAAAGGTCAAAGCATCAAATAATGAAAAGTGAAGGAGTATAAAAAAAAGACAAGAAAAACACCATTAACATGAAAGCGGTTCATTGAACTCTTGGCAGCACAACTCTCGGCAGGCCAATCACACAGAAAATCTGGACTGGACTCAGAAAGAATAAGCTTTAGACAAGCTCCAAGAGCCAGAAACATCACATCCAATAGGCTTTATCATGCAACAGAAATAAACCCAGCAAATGAAAAAGAAATAAAAACCCAAAGGAGATTAGTAAGAAAGCCTTAAACTCAAAAGCTCTGAATTATTTTCAAGAATATTGTTGAATACAATACTGTTAAGGAGCCTTTCCACGAGCATTTGGTCTCATAAGGATACAGAATGATAGCCTTTTTACAATGAAAACGTTGTAGTACTTATTATCTTAGATACTGTAACAGTTTTAACATGAAACCCCAGACAGGGGTGTCTGCTGCCCCCTTGCACTTTCTCTTGGCCATACATTTGATTCCAGAAGCAGCTTCCAAGAAAAACAAAATCTTGATATACAGCCATGACAGTTCATGTGACAGAATGTGAAAAAGAAGAAACAGATTTATATTTTGGAGGCGAAGGTATAGATTTGAAACATTTGCTCAAAGAAGGAGAAACATCCTGGCAGCCGAGAGGTTCTGCTAACACTAAACACACCAGAGGAATTGTGCAGCAAACCCATGTTCCTTTGTCGTCTGGTCTAACAGTAAATCTAATTTGTTGCAATGTTATGAATGACAAAACGAGGTGTGACCAACAAAAGAGTATTTCTTTTTTAAATGCAGCTTTAATAGTGGAATAAATTATGTTTTTCAAGTAAAGTCTTTAATGAAAATCAACCATAGGGTGTAAATCAGACATTTAGACATTTTGTTGGGACTTATCTCAAACCGACACGAATCTTCCGAGAGGCAAAAACTAGCAGTGAGTCAACGTTGGACGCTCCACAATGATCCACCAGAGAAACAACCGTAGAGTTTCCAAATGCTGTAATAAGTGTGATGATGTATGGGTTGCAGTTGGAGCTTTGGGTGTGTTTGCTGAACAAGTTTGCATGGAGATGATTGGGTCACAGTTTTAAGGTTTCCTCCTTTCCCATGGAAATACAACGCTTCTATATGAACTCCGTGCCTTCTTTCAATGGCTCTCATCCTGAACAAACAACTCTTTGTTTTCCATTCAGAAATGAACAGTATTGATATACTATGCAAACACAAATCAACGCCTTCTTAGCTACTCTAAAAACATATACACAAAAGGCTAAATCACTCGCTTTCTCCATTCAGCGCCCTCAAGTGACTCACATGATTTGGCAAATGCCTCTAATCCACTTTGATCAGCATTTGTGGTTAAATGGAAATGAGGACAATGATACTGAACCTTTAGAATGTACTTTCTTTGTGCAAACAGCCATGAAGCTTTTATGGCAAACATTATATGCTTTGGCGTTAATTGTTTTAATATAAAACACATAAATATCCATGCACAGCCAGCTGTCAGGAAGCTATGAAGTCATTGCTCCCAGGCTGTGCTCTGACAGGATAATGGATGCAGTGCAGACCAGAGACCAGCTCATAGCCAGGCCCCTCGCAGTGTCACTGGATCAACCAGCCCAATGTGGATTCCAGATGAACAGATGTGCACAAGGCATGAATACACACACGCACACACACTGTTCTCACACAGCAACACTGATTAGGGTTGTCTAAAGAAAACATACTTTTGTTCTTCTTGTGTAAATGACAATCAACAGCGTCTGTTGCATGCTCATCAAGCACATGCTCTCTCTCAGCAGTGCCAGTCCTGAATGCTTTGCCAATTTGTATATTTTTTGTATATTTGTACAACTTCGCTGACATAATACAATTAGACCTAGTTATGTACCTATCCCACGCTCCCTGTATGTTCTGTCACCATGTACAGCACACCCCTTTGAAGGAAATGGCTTCCACCTGAACCTCCAGCCACACCCTTCAAGAGTTATTGGAGGAAATGGAGGGATTAAGAAAACCCCAAGGGATCATTTAGCTCCAGAGTATAGACTTAGACCGAACACACTGCATGTTCGACTCACTCCAGCATAATATATTATTTGTCATAGAAGTGACTTCAACCGCTGCACCCACAGGACTTGTTTAAACACAAGCTCGTTGGCACACAAGCTGAATCTAAACTGGAACACGCAAATATCCATACTGTGGACTCAAATACCCTTTACTAATCTCTCAACACCCAATCCAACTCAGACATAATCACAGCTGTGTGGATTTCCTCCAGTGCTGCAGAACAATGCCCTCTCTGTGACCACAGACACACAGAGGGAAAGATTTCTCTGGCTTTTAATTTTTTAGCTTCTGTTGTATTTTCCGCATATTGTTCTTTTTGGTCATACAGTGTGTACAAATCATATCTATGTTTCACTTTGTTTGCCAGAGCTTTACATTTATTTAAAGAATAATGAAGCAATTGTTGTTGTTTATCTCTGAAAGAAGACATTTAATTGAATACACTTTTTGTTTTTCAAAGTTTTCCTAAGTTATTTCATCCCATCTTTTGACCTACTAGAATCTTTTTAATACCTAACCTTAGTCAGTTTTGTTGTTGAAATGTGGTACCTTCCTTCTATAAACTGTCACATTATATTTCCATCTTTGAAGCTGTTACTGGATGGTTAAGGTAATATAATCTCAGTAATAGTAGTGGGGCTATCTCTCATCGCCTTATTTCCAAGCTTCTCCTAACACAGCAGCAAGTGTTACAGAGTGTGTATGTGTCCGTGTGTGTCCGTGTGTGTGTGTGTGTGTGTGTGTGTGTGTGTGTGCGCGTGTGTGTGTGTGTGTGTGTGTGTGTGTGTGTGGATATGTACAGCTCCAGTCGAGCCTTACATTCCATCGACAACAGCGGCTACATTTCATTTTCTTTACTCTAATAACATCTGCTCTTTCAGCACATGAAGTAACAACAAAATATGATATGCCTTGCAGAAGTTCAAAAACCTAAAGCTTTTATGCACTTTACTATATTGCAGATACCCCAACATTTGGACTTTTTACCCAATCAAAAACAACAAAAAGAAATCTAAAACGATCGGACAGAAACTTTCCACCTCTATCGCAATTAAACGTGTGAGTTCTTTACAGCTTAAGAACCATAATTTGCCTTGAAATATATAAACTGTACACATGCAAACACATACAGCACAAATCAAGTACTCATTGCCCAACTTGTGAAACCAGAGCGGCAATACATCCTCCGTTTCACCCGACTGCAACACACACTTTCACTAAAAGCATATCGCCAAATTCTTTCCTGAGCATCGAAATGTGAGAGGGAAAGTGTCAATCACCGATGAGCGTTTACCCCATCAGCAGGCTGACAATATATATACCTCACCCAGGGCCCGCAAGCTACCCAGCATGCCCAGACAGGAGAGGAGGGGAGGGGTACAGGAGATGCTGACAAAATAAAATAAGCAATACAATTCTGAAGCCTTTGTCTTCCCGCCCTGCTTAAGAAATCCCTGACATCTTTGAAAGGCCATCTTTTGAATCAATCATCATCATCATGTGCCTTTTTTTGTGAGAAGGAAAGGGGGCAGCTAGGTGAATCGAGGAAACGGAAAGAGCCCGAGGGTCCACATAATTGAGATCATACAAAGGTGGCCTCTGCTGCCAATAAAAACCTGGCCTGGTGACAGGTGGAGGTTTGCACCGGGGTGAAAACATTTAAAAGGCACCTGAAGTACTTGATGATCTCACTTGATTGATATTTCAGGATTAATATTACTAATGTGCAGGATGTGTAGACGTTGGGAGGGAGTTTGGATGTAAAAAGGATGAAATAAAAACATTTTGCGATCAAATCCATTCAATGTTTTGGTAAAGACTCACGCCTTCTTTCCACAGATGGAGCCTTTGTACCAGTTCCTACATGTGCTGAAGTACTTCTTCTTAGTCCCCTCGACCTGCTGCAGAGCGCACACATTGGGTCTGTAAGAGAAGAGGGAGGGGGACGGGGGAGTTAGGTGATGAGGGAGAGACAGATAAAGGGAGAAGCAGAAAGAAAGGTAAAGTGAAGAAGGAAGAACATTGTCATCCATAGATGCCAAGGCCTCTGTCCAGTGCTTATCAACAATGAATCACTGAATCTGAAGCCTGTCATTTAAAGTCAATGAAAGAAAGCATTGAAAAACATTTTGAGCTAAACTCAGTAATTATCTTACAATGGACCCTCCCAACTCAATCAATATTAAACAGCATATTAGGATATTGACATATTCTTTACAGCAGAAGACTGAATGAATGTGGGAGAGGATATTGCATTGTCCAAGCCTTGAGTCAATGGCATTTGATTACACTCATCTGGAAACACAGCACTAATATCAAATCTAACAAACAAAGCACTTTACATGTGTACATATCTTTCAGCCTATTACTCTTCATGTGCAAATCAATTGGTTGTATTGTTTAATCCCCAGTTCTTTGCTTCATAGAAAACTTAAAAAGCTTCCACACATCTTTAAGTTCAGCATTTCTCTCTCCCTCACTGTCTATCCTTCCCTCCATCTCCCCCCCCCCCCTCCCGACCTTACCCTTCTTTCCTGGCCCGGATGCGACTGTGGGTGACTATCTTGTCATAGGCTGAAGAATCCACTCTCCCTAGGGAGCAGAGTGCCACCAGCACTGAGGTCACGGCTAGCAGCTGATGCATCCTGGGGAGGTATCAGTCCTCTCTATTGCAGGGGCTCAAAACACACACACACACTTTTTGTATTCAAACACACACACACCCAACACAAAATACACAGGACATATGGGAGTGCAGTGAGGGAGGGAGAGGAGGCTTTTATACCAGCTCTCTAACACACACCCATAACCATCCACCCTCTTTTTTGCTCCTTCACTTTCTTTTGCATACCATTACGTCCCTCTCTCACCCTCACACACCCATTTCCTTAGCCAAAATCCTCCAGCCTGCTTTGCTCAAGCTTATTGCCTCTCCCTCCCTCACATTGTTTCACATGGATTTCTCATGCTTTCTTAAACACCATCACATCCAGGAGCACCGAGGACACCCTGCGATTCAACTTGCTTTATACTCTTTGATGACAGCTTTATAATCCAACTATGGATTGCCTTTACAAATATATTTCACTTGTATGTATTGCTGGGGTTTTGACCCATGAGTTTAAGAGTGATAGAGACTTTGGAGAGGGGGACACACAGAGATCCCATTACAGTTAATAGATGCAAAAAAAGGAACATTAAGATTCAGTAATTCACTAAATAAAAGTAAATCTATTGCAAGCTCATGAACACAGGCAGTGAGTTCATCTTTAATACGTGTCTTTGGGACCAGGGCCGGCCCTGACCAATTTGCTGCCCTAGGCAAGATTTTAGCTGGCGCCCCCCCCCCCAAAATGCAGACACTCACTATGACTCGCGCATGCATTCACGTGCACGGTTGTGGCATGACCACCAAAACAGAAAGATATGGACACAAGATGTGTACAAATGTATTTAGTTTCCTATCCATTTGAACATGATTTAAGTCGGGGGGTTGACCTAACCTCCTCTAGGGGGGTCCGGGGGCATGCTCCCCCGGGAGGATTATTATTTTTTAATATTGAAGTTAAAAGCATCAATCTGGTGCACTTTGAGAGCAAAATTAAGAGATCTATGGATACATCTCTCAACACCCATATGAAACAGAACTGAAAACAGATTTTCTTTTTATTTAAAAACTGTATTCTTGTTTATTAATAACAACTTTTTTTTACTGTCATATAGTATTTTATACCTGTTTTTCATTTATTCTCTTATTTTTTTATAACTATAATGATCATATAAAGGTGTGCCGTTACTGAGCTGAGGTTATCAGAGCCTCTCAGTCTTTCAGGAGAGAGCTCTCTAAAGCTCTCCCCCCGGCGGCCGCTTACACAGTAAATTCCAATGTTAATAAAAGCTGTATACGTTTTTTGGGAGTTTGATTTATTTTAAATTAACACAAATTTAAAACCTATAATTGCACACTAAAAACATTATTTAAAAAAAAAAGAACTATTTCACATAAACCATGGTTTTGACTGGGGCTGGGGCAGTTCAACTTGATTTGGGGGGGGGGGGTGCGCGCCATAGTTTATGGGCGCTGTACGCAATATAGGCGCAGTTCTGTTAGTATAAGATAATAAGATGTACTTTGTTGATCCAAAATCGGGAAATTGTGTTGTTATGAAATAAAAATAAATATATCTTTTAATTTCTAACTTTTTTTTTTTTTTTCAATTTTCGGCGCCCCCCATAGATTGGTGCGCCCTTAGCATTCGCCTATACTGCCTATGCCAAGGGCCGGCCCTGTTTGGGACATTCAGAGACTAATCAAATGAATTAAATTGGCTACAGTGTTTTTAATAAGCTAGAAAATAAGACTGTAAATCATATTCAAAGAGCTGGGGTGATATATCTTTTAGATGATAGCTTTACACGCTGCTTGGCAGGAGTTTAACTGTATTTTTGTCATCCTTCCCCTGGGATACTACTCTCATCCTCATTATTTTCACCAGTTGATCCATCCTTTCCTCCTCTAAACTCCCCTCTGGGCTTCTGCTTCTACTTCATCCTCCCTGCTGTCAAATTGGTCGTTTATCAACTTCTTCCCAGGCCCTAACTTCTCCCTGCAGCTGTCTCTGTCTCCGATGTTGTAGCCAGATCTGATACAGCTTCAAAGGGAAAATCATGACAAAAATGATCCCTGGACGTTGTCATGTACGGTCTTGATTTGTGAACAGGTATGCCTCTAAATTCGAACAATTCAGGTAAGTTCTCTCTTGATGATGTTGACTCATTGAATCAAGAGCTTCATATTATTATTTACTCCACACATGTGACCACAAACACCCAGGTAAATGTTCCTTTAAAAATCTATTTTATGCAGTAAAACAGGGAGATTTTTCCTTTTTAAACAACTGAAATCCCATTTCTTACCAACAACACATCACAGATGTACTCACCCTTGAACTCGCATGACCCCTCTCATGAGGGGGAGGACAACAGAATGCAGCCTCCTCCCTTTTTCAGACAGCTGTGTCTATGATGCTATCTTAACATTTAGGATACACTTCAAATCCTGGGAACACACATATTAAGCCCAGACTGCCATTTACAGTAATTTAAACCTTATTTTCTTTGTGTTCCCTCTCCTGCTTGAGGCTTCTCTGAGATCCCCACACACATAAACTAGTAACCAGACACACATACACCTACACTAGCCTACATGGATTTTCAATTAGATTATAAGTATTGAATGCCTGATTTCATTTGTCTCTGTTGTGTCAGATTTCCATCCACTAACCCTAACCTTTAAGATGTATTGAAGTCATGTTGAGCCCCATGTGTCACCCTGTTGTTTCCCACAGGACAGCACCACTCTCCTCTCCAGGTTGCAGGTGGTTTCTTTGGTTTTGAGATCCTGCAGAGAGAGAACAAGCAGAGAACAGGAGCTCCATTCTTTAATGACATCTCCCCCTAGTGGAAAGGACTTGTCAGTGCAGCCATATGCTAGGCCTCTGCAACTAGGATAACACAAAGTGATCAAAATGTCAAGCAACTACAATAAATCAAAAACTTGTATCAGTGTTTTCTGTCTCACATTATAAGAATGGAAGGTCTGGATTTATATACCTGTATGTTTCAGGGACATAAAAGTGTGTGTCTGTTAGTTCACAGTTTACTTCAAGTCTCCATGTTTTTCCCTTTATCACATCTAATTAGCATAATGTGAGCCTTCTGTGAGCGTGTGGATTCTCTCTTTCCTTGGGACACCTTCAGAGAAATTACATGAATATTCATTAAGTCACACATCAAGTTTTGACTAATATGTAGCGTTACACACAACGTGTATTTCTAAATAAGGTTTCAGAATAGTTTTAGCGCTTTCTGCATTTGTGACAGGCTACTTCGGAGCAGTTGGAAGATCCATCGAAAACCCAGGAGCATTTTACTGCAGCCTTTTGATCACAGACAGTGCACAATTTCATCATCTGTTGAATATTTAACTTGCTCACTTGTTCGCCGATTGAACTTATTGAAGTACAAATAGGAAAGTGAAAAAAAAGCAATCAAAAGATAACTTCAGTGAAAACAAAAATGCCTGAGAACACAGGGAACATGTGGCTTTCATGCAACAGGGTTTGATCTGTGTCATTGGGTTCTGTTTTAACAGTAGAAAAGTGTTGTTGGAAAATAAGTTTTCTGCCAGGCATTACTTCTTCTTCTCTGTAGGGTTTATAAGAGAAGAAAATGACCTACTTGTCTTTCATTACCAATGGTTTGGATTCTTGGATCGAACAGCACGTTCACACGCACAAACACTCATCTCTGAAGGACTAAACAAAAGCCAGAGCTAATACCCCAGTTTCACAGGGAGAAAGAAAACACTTAGCAAATGTTTGGAATCTGCTGATTAGCTACTAGCACGAAATGTAACATTAATTACACATTTGAGACCTTCATTAACAGAAAACAGAATGAAAATCACACGTTCATCATATATCGCTGGTTCATCATCACCCTGCTCCTAATTTCTTGAGCAGGACTCCCAAATGTCTGCAATCTAATTATGAGATTCAATTAAACTCATAGGACCGAAAGAGAGGAAATGATCAGTTTTAGGAAATAATTACTTTCCAATCTTCATGGATGAGACGAGATGAAATTAATTTACTCCTAAAATCTAAATCCTTGCAATGTTAACCCAGAGCTTTGATTACCCTTGCTCTGATAACCTAATTTAAAACACTTACTATATTTAGAAAACATTCTCATTGTTGAACTTAAATCTTAACTATGTTATCTAAGATACAATATTGTCAGCACAAAAAGTTAATTTATTAATATATATTCATGGTTCTATCTGTCTGCAATCTGTAGAACAAGACAAAAAATACAAAAAAAGAAGAATACATGTTTCTTGTTTTAATCTCTATCATCTAACATCATTCATTCAAACATGACATCTAAAAGGTACAAGTTAAAAACAGAAAATCTCTTCAAAATAACATTTTATTTTCTGTAGGAGTGAGAAAACATGAATAATATGTTTCTTTTAATGGTTTATAGGCTGTGTTCATATTGTATTTATCTCATTGTTCCACGTTTTCTACTTTACATACGAGAATACTGGTCATGAACTGTCACCATTAAACGTACCAGTGAACGATGAGTATCACAATCCCAGGTTTCTGCATAGAAAAACATTGACAGAATTGTTGTTGCATGATCAGAGCTCGACACATCTTTGAGATACTGTATGGCAGTGTAAAGTGTGCAAAGTGCAGAAACGGACAAAGTAAGGCAGAGAGTTGGGTCTAAAACAGAACACATCTATTGCTCTAGTGAGATAAAGGAAACAGGGAGTTAAGCGGTGTAGAGATAAACGGAAGGAAAAAGAGGTAGAGAGAGAATGATGAAGGACAGAAGAAAGTGAGTATATAACTTAAAATGAAGGGCACACATCAGGTAAGGGAGAGGGGGTCAAATATAGAGGAAATTATCAGTTTCAGAAAATAATTACTTTCCAATCATCAGGGATGAGATAAGATGAAAAATATGTATCCTAAGATCTAAATCCACGTTTACCTTTGCTGCATCTCCACTGCTAATATATTTAAAACACAAACCAAAGGCCTCCCTGAGTCTCCAAAGATCAAGTCTGATCGTTTTATAATAACTCAATTAATATCGTCCTCAGTTGAAGCTGTCTTCATTCCAACATTAGTTAGCCGGTGGTTATTTATTCAGGTAGTTTCACATCTTATGCTTC